CACTTTCAAACACACGACTCTCGAACGAGTTCTCGATTGTTCAGTCGCCTGAGTGAAGGACGCAGAGCTTTTTCTAGCTCGAAAAAGGCGTGGGGTCATCGAGCTAGGTCATCAAGTTTGACAGAAAAGGGTCAGGATGCTTCTTCAACCAGTGGCCCAACAATAGGGTTCTCATTCGCGAGAAGCTCTTCGCGAGCCCATTAGTTGGAAAACAATACCCAGGCCCTCACCCCTCATCACTCACAACCGACGACCTAGTCGAGCGACAGTGCAACAGGCCATTGAGCCGGCACTGTCTGCCATCCAGCGCGAGCGCCCACATCCAGGTTATCCCGGGAAGGGGGATCTGCCGGATTTGCGTCCGTCGCCACTCTATCAATAAAAATGCGAGCTTGCAGGTTTAACACTAGGTCCCAAAAGACTGAAACGAGCAAGCACAAGTCTTCGCGACTTGAATAACCCTTCACGAGCGAGGCCTCAACGACTTCCGAATCTATGAAGACGAAGATGTCCGCTCGGAAGAGTCTATCTGAAAAAGTTTCGAGAGCTACAATGGGTGCGAGCATCTCAACGGGGATGATCTGAGTCTTTCTGACCAACCACCTGTCTCGCAGATCCTTAGGCACTCGAGAGGTAAACTGTACAGGCGATGTCATGCGCCTATCAAAAATCACTCCTCCTATCCGATCGGGCCTATGGTCGTCTTCACGGGGGTCCGGTGAAAAACCATCAGTGAAAATGACGAGATCCGCCTTCTTGAATGAGCACAATTCGATCGTCCTGGGTGGTCCTCTGCTGACGAGCTTGAGCCACTGCCTCAGAGACTCCTCGAGCGGTCGATCGAGCGTGAACACATCATTCGAAGGGAAACGAGCGTACTGTCTCTCTGAGATGGACCGGAGGAAAGCTCTTCCCACTTTGCCCCAGAGCTGGCTGGCGCCAAACATAAGCTTGCCTTTGAGCTTCCCAGCGTGACCAGGCTCAAGAACGCCCGAGCGAAGCACGCTTTGGATCTCATCAATCAACTCTTCACGCCGATTGGCTTTGATCTCTAAAACCCAATCCGACAGGTTGTAGGTCACGCCCAAAATCACGGGCTTGTCTGTCAGCTGGAGCTTCTTTGGGTCGAACGCCGCTCCCAAGAGCCAGTGTATCCTCTGAGCTACGTGGAAGGCAGATTCAACCGAGCCGAGCGGCTCAAACCCGTACTTGTCGTCGTAGAAGTTGAAAGCAACCAGGTTGAACAACCTTTGAAGGATCTCGTTAATCGCGGCAGATCTGCGATTGTAGTTGTAAACCGCCGACACGAGCCCAAAAGAGTGACCAACCATTACGAAGAAAGCAGGTTCGAGCGACACCGGCGACTTGATGCAAATCACACTGAACTTCCGGTGATCTGGACGGATAGCCACCTGTCGATAGGCTTTCCTCTCATCCAGCACCCAACCAGCGAACTTGGCACCTGGCATAGCCGATCGCATCATGCGCAGCGCTGCGACATTGGTGTCTGTCGATGGCAGTTGCAGTTTCTCGGTGATCACCGTCACTTGATTGATCATATTTGTAGTCGCGCTGTCGCAACCACGCACTTTGTTCTTTTGCACGACTTCGAACCGCTGGGTCGGAATCCAGTCTTCACATTGGAGCAACTCTGACACCTGATCAGGGCAAGAGAACGGCCCGAGAGTGGACCCTTCCGACACGTCCTCCAAAGTTGCCTCCCAGATCTTGGTCAGATTCTCTGAAGCAGGCACTGAACGAACACGATTGACAATCTTTGAACGCATTGCCCAGGCCCGGTCTAAAGCTTCTTGAACAGGAACGACTGGCACCGCCTTGTCATAGTGGGGCCATCTGCGCGAGCGCGCTATGGGTCCCACGATGAGAAAGCCCTGCAGCAACAAATCCGGCATAAATGCATCCACTGAGTTGCAAGCTTCAAGCATCTCGTAGTACAGAGCGATGTGACAACAAGAGCCGAGCTGGCAAGGCTGGTCGTCAGCAACACCACGGAGCAGACGCCGAA